ATGCATGAAGCAGAAGAATATACGGTGAATAGATTTGTCACCGGCCTGCATCCAAACATCAATAATCTACAAGGAGACTACTACAAGGAGATGATATCCTAAATGAGTTGTGCATACATGCATGAAGCAGAAGAATAGCCTTGAAGATACACTAAAGAAAACAATGACAATCGAATCACAACTTCAGAGGAAGTATCGTTTCAGAGACACTTACCAAGGCACTTCACCTATTTACCAAGGTACTTCACCTACTTACCAAGGTACTTCATCTACTTACCAAGGTAATTCATCTACTTCCACTTCTTCTTCTACTCCACCTTTTACCACGTATACTGAATCAGATAATGACATCGATAAATATGATGCTAGTTGCATTGTAATAGAAGATACCGAAGGTAATTAATCTACTTCCACTTTTTCTTTTACTCCACCTTCTACCAAAGATACTAAATTGGATGATGACATCGATGAATATAATGCTAGTAGCATTGTAATAGAAGATATCAATATTCCGTCACTTAGCCTTACACCATTGGAATCAGATAATATACTTGAAAGTCATGTGATGAAATTTTGTGAGGAGGGTAGGAAAAGACAAATAGAGAAAGACACTAAAAAAGAGGAAAAAACAAAAGAGGCCACAACCTATAAAAGCCAAGAAAATGACCAATAGGAGGTGAGTGAACCTAATTGTAAGAAGAAAAGAGTGACTAAAAAAATCCATGTGTGAGCACAAAAGAATTACAAGAGAACATTCTTCACAAAAAACCTTGCATCCTTGTTCTCTTTAGGGAATCAATTGTTTCGATTTTTAACTTAACAAGGATTTTGCTAGTGTGTTTATTTCTCTCTCACAGGATTTTTGAGAAGTGTCAGGAGATTTATATGACGGAGTACCACTGGAAAGAGGGAAACAACACTATATTGATCTAATTCAAGGTTCTATCATACCACATCAAACAATTAATCTCGGAGGAACCAAAGATCTAGATTTACTACAAAAAGCCTACATCTAGGAAAGCCTTAATCATTGTTACATCTCACTGAAAAAAAAAGAGTTAAACCACACCAAAGGTAAATATGTTGTTTATTTTGATGATATTCTTATCTATTCACCTTCTCTTGATTTTCATCTCTCTCACTTATGTTATGTTCTTGGTGATCTCCGACGAGAATACTTTTATGTTAACATGGACAAGTACTTGTTTTGCAAGCTTATCTTTGTAGGCTTTATAATAAGTGCATAGAGAATCCATATCGATGTTGAAAAGGTAAAGGAAATTTAATAATTGCCCAATTAATATTCCATACCCGAGGTAAGATCTTTTCATGGTTTAACAAGTTTCTACCATCGCTTTGTTAATGATTTCTCTACTTTTGCCATACCTTTGACGGAAATCACCAAAAGGTCGGTTGAATTCAAATGGAGACCGCAACAACAAGAAGTATTCAAACTTTTTACAGATATAGACATAGGTGCAGTTCTAATACAGGAAAAACAACCTATCACTTACTTTAGCGAGAAGTTAAAAGTGAAACAACTAAATTACTCCATCTATGAGAAGGAACTTCTCACATTAGTTCGAGCACTCGAAGTGTGGCAACACTACCTTTTTTCTAAAGAGTTTTCATACACACAGACCATTACTCCATAAAGTGGTTAAAAGGCAAGGCAAGTTAAACAACCTACATACTCAATGGGTTAAATTCATTGAATCTTTTCCTTACCTCATTAAGTATAAACAAGGGAAAGATAAAATTTTAACTGATGCATTAAGGTGTATTCTTGCATCTCAAATGCATACAACTATTCCGAGAATGGAACATATCAAAGATGCAAATCATGATGACTTAGATATTTCTGATATATATACATTCTTTTAAAAGTGCTTTTAATGAGTTTTATCTTGTAGATGAGTTTCCGTTTCAACCAAATAGGTTATGCAGTCCATATAGCTCCTTACAAGAATTCTAAACTTATGAACCACACTTAGGATACTTCATGGATTACTTTCATGAACCGCTTGACACACTCTTTCTCGCCATACAAGAGTAAAACCATGGAAATGACATATGAGGCAATCACAAAGAAAACCAATAGTGGTCGATGCCATGTTCAATTTCAACTGAAACACCAAATTTCAAGATTTGTGTTCGAAAGAGGATTTCAAGATAATAAGAATTTGATTCCAATTATGAAGAAACCTCTACTAAAGCGCATAACAATACATCAAATTGGTACGGGTAAGTATTTCACAAGTTGTCATTCCCACATATCTAATTCTATTTCTCTTGAATTTTCAGATTTGTGGATAAATCCTTTTAAGGAGAGGGGGAATGATATAAGTACCAAAGTCCATAATGATTACACATGCTTCTTTGGACAATTGTTTCTACTTGAACCTATTAGAAGAACAAAGTCTAGAAGATTCAAAGCAAATATACTCGGAAAGAATAATGTGAATGAATTTTTAGAAGTCTCTAATATTTCTCCCTTTGATGTTTCAGATTTGAGGTCAAATCCTTTTGAATAGAGGGAGGATGATACATGTAGCAGACTTACGACTGCTTTTTGAATGGAATCCTGATGTTATTTGGTAAACATGTCTTCTGAAGTTACAATCGTATTTCTTTTATCTTTCCAAAGGTTCTTAAATAATCTCAATCCGATATCGAGAACTCAAGATATGTCTTTTTTTTAGTGAAGATAGCATGTGCAGAAAATCTTATACAGGATCAATACGGGATTTCATAAATATTACGAATTTTAATATTTTTTATTAATTATTTGTAATATAATTTAATATAGGATGATACATTATATTTTAGGATTAAATTTTTATAATTTTATTAGGAATTAAGATAAAAGTTAAAACAATTACCTTTAGTTTATTGCTATTAGGACACCTTTATTTATTACATAGTTAGGTTACAACAAGGATTCCTCCTCATCTATATAAAGGAGGCTCCTCCCACAATTGTAAACATCATCATCTTTTCTTTGAATAATAATACAATGTGAGAAATTTTTTGCAGGAGCTAATTGCCTTGTGTCTTCGAAGCATATTTTCCTTTAAGTTATTCCAAGTTCTTGAGAGAGAGATCTTCACACTCTGGTTTGCCTTCTCATTGCGATTAGGAGGACTGGTTAGAGTCATATTGTCGAGTTTTCCTTTTCATTTTGACTAGGAGGGTTCGGTAGGACATATCCATATATTTTTCATCTCCACAAACCATCATCTTCTTCCTCCATCTTCACGTCAATTTCCATCTCAAAACTCTAGGGTTTGTGTTATCCTTATACCTACCAGGCATAAAATTTCAATTCACTTTTTACAAAGATCCGACCGTCAGAATTCTGATTCCTCTTCTTTGTTGCAATCCTTATTCCATTATCTTTTCAATGAGCATCTACTCATCCAAATCCAATCAAAAATCATCCTTGCCACCACCTATAAGGGAGATAAGCTTTAATTCTCCATTACTATTCTTTATCTTTTAATTATCCTTGTTTTTACTTGTCTTATTCTTTTATTGTCTTAACCTTCTCTTTTTTTTCACAATTCCAACAACCCTAAATCTATCCAAAACCTAATTTGTTGCCACCCACATCTCACTCTCTTCCTCTCATTTTTTGATCGAGTCTAGAGCTTTCTAGGTTTGATTATGTTCCACAGGAGAACTAGAGGCCGGCTTTAGAGGATAAATCCAATCTGACTAAACTACCAGAACCATTGACTGGAGGATGCAGAATTGAAGGATACGTGCGTGTAAAGAAGTTAGCACGTACGATATTTAGACTGACCTTCAGATTTATTTACTAGTAATTAATTTGTTCAATCATTTATGTTTATCGTTGAGATAAATGAGTCGTAGAAATGTAGTTATATCCTATGTTATTCAGACTCTGGTGTGAGTGTTGGATATGGTATGTGTTTGACATGGGTATCGTTAGATTTTTCTAACCTTTTTCATGTATTTGGAGGATCTTTGGAGATTAACCCCATATCCTTTTGACAAAATTAAGAGTTGGAGCAACATAGGTTATATGATACCTTTGATCTTAAAGTTTGCCAATTAAGAACTGTTATTCTTCATATACCTTACCGTATCGACTTGCACTTTGCAGGTTCCCGGCAACCTTATCATCTCTGCTCGTTCACGCGTCCATTCTTTTGATTCTTCTAAAATGAACATGTCTCATGTCATAAGCCATCTTTCGTTTGGTAAAACAATTTCGCCTTGGTTACTGAGTGATGCAAAGCGATTAATACCTCATCTTGGTAGAAGCCATGACAGGTTGAATGGTCAGTCATTTATTAATAACCGGGATTTAGATGCAAATTTTACTGTAAGTTCTTTTATGCGATCCTTTCTGTTCAATTTCTCGTTTCATCCCTTACGTGGATTTTGTTGTCCATGGACATTTATATGCATCTTTTCAAAGTAATCGAGTAAGATATGTGTCGATCATAGTCGAGAATAAAGAATATTCTGTTCTAAGAAATGATTGTAACTAATTCCCGATAATTTGTGATGCGAGTACCGTCTATGCTAATTACCTTGCATTTTCCAGATAGAGCATTACCTTCAAATAGTCAAAACGGAGGTGGTCACAAGAAAATCTTCTCGGCAACATACGCTAATGCAGGAATATGAGTACACCGCACACAGTAGTCTAGCACAGAGCATATACATACCTGTTGTGAAATTTTATTTCTAAGTTATCTCCAATGCAGGTTATTCTCTGCTTAATTATTTTTCATAAGTTTTTACATTCTCCTTGTTTTTCATTAGTTCAATGGATTTTCGTTTTGTACTCGGGTTTTGATAACGGTAGACCCGAAATCGTTTTCTCACTTCCTCACGAATGTGTGTGCTATAATAGGAGGTGTTTTCACAGTTAGTATCATACTGCCTTGTCTTTGTTTTTCTTTTTCCTTTCAAAATCAGGCATTGATAAAACCGTATAATTGTTGTTGTTTCAACTGCTGCAGGTAGCTGGGATTATGGATTCAATATTCCACAATACAATTAGGCTGATGAAAAAGGTAGAATTAGGCAAAAATGTTTGATAGAGAAAACTAGGAAATGTTAATTCTATGAAGAACTCTAATTAGTGAGGGCTTATATAACCCTTTTTACATGTAAAAACGAAAGCCGATAAATTTATTTCTCAACCCACACAATATAAATTATAATAATCCACTTATTTATGTGTTAACAAACAAGCACACCAGATATTATACAATTTATTCCTTTTGGTTTCTAACAATAAATTATCAAGAAAACAAACACCAGCCAAGGAAAATCAAACAAATTCAAGAAAAAAAGTAATAACAAAGGAAGCATTCCACTTCATGAATGGATTTCTCCCTCTTACAACCCTAAAGCAAGAGTTGAAGCCACAAACATAGCCCCCATAGTGGAACCAGTAACACTCATCAACCACAAAGATGTTGCATCATTTTTTGTTGGATTAGAGTCTTCACCCGGTGCCGGTGTCGGGTTATTCTCGGCACTTCCAACTGGAGGAGACTCACTAGAAGGCGGCGGAGATGGCGGCTCGGTTGAACCTGATGGAGGAGGAGACGAACGGTTGATTCGATCGGCCATGACAACCACAATCAACTTCTCGTTCTTTACACAGTTGTCTTTGTTTCCGCTGATGAAATAGTGAGGACCTGAATGATCCAATGAGAAAACAGTGTGGCCATCGGTATATTTGGCGGTTGGTGATTCTGTATTGCAGTTTTCGTAGGCCTCCGTCGTCACATTTAGCACGGAATCATCGTTTGGTGCGTAGCTAAACACTGTCATACACGTCCATAACATCAAAAACAAAGTTATATATACATACATTTATATGAATTAATATTGAAAACACTGCTGATAAAAATAAAATCTATAAATAGTATTCAAACAACGTAAAATATGTTTTTAAGCATTTTTAAAAAAAATTAAAAGTAAATAATAATACACTTAGTATCATCTAAACATTATTTATGAAATGAACCTTAGTGGTAAATTAATGTGAAATGACAATATTTTTTAAAACAAATCCTATTTTATAATCATCCCATACTACTAAAAAATCACTATTTATGAAATTAATTTTTCACTTATAATGTATTAAATTATAATCCTATGTACATATACATATGTTTCTATAATAATTAAATTATAATAATATATTTGTATGTTTCTATGATAATGGATAGTGATGGGGTAGGATTACACTCTGAAAAGATCGAATTGTTTAATTTGGAACTGAGAGTAAGTTTAATATAATTAACGTTTAAAGTGAGGACTTAAATGCTATTAAACCAAAAGCTTTTCTAGATTTTTCTAATTTTATTTTACTCGCGTTTAAATATGTTTTAGGTACTACTACTTTTGGAAACCATGATGAATCCAGGTAGTATATTAAACTTACCAAGTGAATCTCCAATCTGAAATCTGTTCTTTTCAGCCCATTGATTGTAGTTTTCAGCATTGGAGCCATTGTGAAGACCCCAATTCACTTGGAATTCTCTTGCATAACCCTTTTTAATCATCATCTGCATGAAACAAAAGAGCCCCAATCCTAAAAACACTTCGCTTTGATATCTGAAAATGGAGTTAGCCATTGAAAACCAGGATTCCCAAAATAACTGAAAAAGTTGAACTGAAACTTTGAATTGCAACAGTTAATGCCAGGACCAGGGTTCTTGTAGGCCACTTGCATGGAGGAGTTTAGGGTTAATTGCACTAGGTGTCCTCGATTTATGACTCATTTTAAATTATTCTTCAAATTTCAAAACATTTTAATCAGACCCTAAAAGTATTTGTATCATATTAATCAAGTCCTTTCGTTCAGGGATAGAACGGAAAGCGGGGCTGAGGGCAATCGTCTCGCTGAAAATTTCATAGTATCATATATTTTAGATATTGTCTTTGTATTTTGTATTGATAATCTGTTTTCACAACTCTAAAATTTTATAAGTTCTCTCCCCTCTAAAATCTTAAAAATCCACGAACCCTAATATAGAATCATGTGTTTTTCCTTGCTTCTGTTAACCTAATTGTGAGATTGGACGTTAAAAGCTAGCTCAAATATAAATGGATTATATTTCAAATACTAGTTTGAGGATGTCTAGTAAAATTAACCCAAAACGGTGGCATATAAGCTTTCGTTTCTTTCCAATATTCTATCTTCTTTTTGTTTTTTTGGATTTCTTGGTTTATGGTGCAAAGTATAAATCTTCAACTTCTTAAAGTTTATTTGAATTTATGCTTTGCTTGATCATAAACTAGAATATTCATGTCTTTCCTTTGGGTTAAAATTCTGTATACAATTATTTTACATTCACATATAAAAAAAAGCGATTGCGAATATACTTATTGCTATTGTAATTATCTACGGTAGATATGAACAATCGACTAGACAAAAGTCAAAAACAGAATATAACAGTATATGATTTTGTACGAGACTATCAACACTTTAATCAAATAATAACTTTTAAATACTAAATACTACATAAACATCTTTAAATAATTTAATATTGTTGTATTAAAAAATATAGAATTGATTGTCTTATAATCTTTGTTGGTGAAACTAATGAGTTACGACCAATTCATCTCTTTTGTTTTGAGTAAAATACCACAGTCGTAATTAAATAGTCATAAATCGATATAAAAGTTCTCTTTTTTTTTTAAGAAGAAAGATGGGTGTGGGGATATTAGATATTTATCTACTCTCTTGGTCTTGATCGTAAAGTTTTATAGTGATCATTAATATTGATGTCACACATAAGACTATGACCGCTGTCTACATGCTAAAAGGATAAATATGTCCGTTTGATATAATTGACTGTTGATTGATTCTGACGAGTCACATGATACCTGCTAGAGTTCATATGAAAAGGTTTTGGGTGCGTCATTTTTGGAGTAGTTTTTTGGGGGTCTCCACGATCTTTCAGTGCGGGAAAAATTTCCAAAGATAGTGGTAACATGCTTATCGATTGGTGGATAGTAACATGCTTATCGATTGGTGGATACTGCTCTTTCGGATTGCAAGATCAATTGGAACGAGGCCGAAAATCTATTGTTGAGTAGCGATTTATTTATTTTTTGACCAGCGAGGTGAGTCAATTTCATTAATAGAAAAATCCGTTGCACCCAAACTTCAGCCTCATTAAAAACTCCCCTACGCCTAGTTGGGGGAAAAGAGAGTCGAAACGATTGGGGCTTAAAGACAGTCTCGCAACTCCTGCCGGAAAAACCAAAAAAAAAAAAACACTACACAACATAAAGCAGAAACCAAAACTACACATCAGCCAACCATGAATTGAATTCAACACAGTAAAGCAAAGGAAGATGGCCGAGATTTCGAAGCCTGAACGCTACTCACTCCCAGCTCGCTTTGAACAATACTTGTCCACCCAGACCTGCCTTAGCAAGATAATCTGCCATATTGTCTAGAGGCATGCACGAAAAAGACCTTACCAATTTGAGTAATCAGCATTTCAATCTCTTCAAAAGTAACCCCCATTTCCATGGACGGAGAAACGTAGAAGACACCCAATTCAAGGCAACTTTCGAACCTGATTCTATAACAAACTCAACCTTTCTAAACCAAGAAGACTCCCTGAATAACTCCAAAGCTGTTCTTATTGCTTCCAATTCTGCGAAGTCGACATCCATGCACGAAACAGGCCCGAAAAACATTGCAACCACTAACCCTTTTTCGTTCCTCTACACCCCCACACCCAGTCACCTCTTCTGAAACAGCCCCGTCTACATTGAATTTCACTTGCCCCAACTTCGGTGGATTTCAAACACCGTAGATTTAATAACGCCTAGACAAAAATCAACACTGACCATACGGTTGTTCCACCATAATTTATCGTCAATAGCATAAAAATTTGATAACACTGTGTACCAAATTAAAGCTCTCATTTTCACAAAGAACACTAGCTCTTTAAAATTTGTGGCCTTCTCCTGAAAAATGAATTCATTCCTTGGTAACCACAAACTCCAAATGCCCGCTGCAACACATATAAACCAAGCAACCTTTCTAAGACCCGACCACTGAACATGAAAACAAAATTGAAATAACTCATCAACAGTTTGCAAAACCCTCCAACTTACTTTTCACCATCTACAAACAGCCTTCCAAAAGACTACAAAACTTGGGGGGAACCTTCAAGCTCCATATATTTCCCAAGTTGAAAGCAGGAAAATCACCCGCTGAACTTACAAGTAAATCCGAGAGCTTTTTAACCGAGAAGTACCCTGCCTTATCGTGCTGCCAAATTGAATGATAATCTACACTCGATTTTAATCTTATTCCCTCGATGCAATTCCTGATTTCCTGGACAACTGTAACTTCCCGATCCAATAGAATTCTCTCAAGCATTGTTTCCCAATTCGGCATAAACCACTCCCCTGAAACAATAACTTCCTTCAAAGCCCTCATCTTTCTTCACACCGGACGATAAAGGCGAGGGAATTTCGATCTCAAGGAGACATCACCCCACCAAACATCTTCCCAAAATAACATTGATTTACAATTCCCTACCAGGCAGCGAAAAGAATTGCCGTTCATCGACTTGTTCACTTCCACATTTTCCAAAGTCTTTAATATTCCTTTCCACGTACTCGAGGCATTTTTTATCGAAGAATAATTTAACTTCCATGGTAACTCGTCTAGCAATGCCATTTCGCTAGCAATGCCTTATTTTTTGCCTTTAAGTCAATGATCCCAGCCCCTCCGCACTTCTTTTGGTTTACATAGCCTCCCCCAATTGACTCTTGCCATCTTCCTTGAATTTCCACTAGAACCCCAAAGAAAGTCTCTTCTAATCTGGTCTACCTGAAACAATATTGCTTCGGGATAACAAATATTGACATATAATATAGTGGGAGCGTATACAATACCGAGTAAATTAGAATCACCCTTCCGATAAAGGACAACGTTGTACTTTTCCTTCCGTCTGTTTTGACTTGCATCTATCAATTACTGGCTCCCAAGTTGAATATTTTCTCGGAATTGCGCCTAGGGGAATCCCCAAATACTTAAAGGGCAGCTTGCTCACCCAACAATCACAAGCTGCGGCTAGCTCTTCTAACATGGAGACATTAACCCCCACGCTTGCCAAACAGGATTTCTTGAAGTTAATACTTAATCCGGAGATCACTTTGAAGCACCTCAATACTCTCTTAATATTCACAAAGTAACGAAATTCAGGTCGAAGAAAAATTATGGTGTCGTCCGCGAACTAAAGATGTGATATAGACAAACTAGGGGCCACATTAACAATTCCTTCGATAAGCCCTTTTCCTACCGCAATGTCTAGAAGCAAATGAAGAGCTTCTGTCACCATAATGAAGAGAAAAGGGGAGAGTGGGTCGCCTTGCCTAAACCCTTTCGACATTTTGAATTCCTTTGTAGGGGATCCATTTACCAAAACTGAGATTTTTGCCGTCGAGATGCATTCCCAAATCCAACCTCGCTACTTGCTGCCAAAACCCATTCTTTGCTGTACCAAGTCTAAGAATTCCCAACATACGCAGTCATATGCTTTTGAGAAGTCCAATTTTAACATCACCCCACCTCTCCCTTGTCGATCTTTCTTCAAGGAGTGAATTATTTCATTCGCCACTAGATTCCCATTGAAAATCTGCCTACCCTTCATGAAGGCACATTGGGTCTCGCTAATTAATTTACCCACTACTCCTCTTAGTCTTCTCGATAGTACCTTTACTGTAATCTTGTGTAGGGAGCTCACCAAGCTTATTGGCCTGTAATCCGTGACATCTGCAGGGCTTACCACTTTCGGGATCAGCACTATGAACGAAGAATTTACACTTTTGCCCAATCTACCGAATCTATAAACTCCTCCACTGACTTAATTAAATCATTTTTCAAAAACTCCCAACATTTTTTAAAGAACAAGATGTTGAATCTGTCGGGTCCAGGAGCTTTTGACTCATCACAGTTCCACACTGCATCCTTGATTTCTTCCTCAGTAAACGACACCTCCAACACCTCTGACTCGGCCTGTGTTAGATGCTTAAAGTCCAACTCAAGAACTGCCTTCCACTCTTTCTTTTTCTGCCGAAGTGCTTACTAAAATGATTGAAAACTTTTACTTTTAATTTAATCGGATCTGCCGCTCTATCCTCCCCCCAAATTTGATCCCAGAATCTGCCTTTTTTTGCTTTGAAATTTGATAGCTTTGTGAAAAAAAGACAGTTTGCGTCCCCATTCTTAATCCAATTCATCATTGACTTTTGGCGCCAAACATCCACCTTTGCATTTAAACAGTCCCAGTACTTTTCTTTTTGCACAATCTACTAACTCATCACGCTCTTCATCATTTAATCCATCACAATCTCCTTTCTCTTCTTTCTCATTAATTCTTGCTTCCAGCCTTTGATTTTCTGAGTCAACATTCCAAAATTCATTCTTGTTCCAAATTTTCAAGCTCATTTTACTCTTCTCAACTTCGAACTCAAATCGTGCTCAGACGAGCCTTTATCCTCAATAGCCTCTTTGATTATTTCTGGGCATCTCTTTTGATCTAGCCATGTATTCATGAACTTAAAAGGTCTCAGACCCAGTCCACATTCTCTTTAACCAATATAATCGGTAAATGATCTAAAACCGTCATCAGAAGTCCCCATAGAATTACGTCACCATTCTCTGACATCCAATCTGCTTCCACAAATACTCTGTCTAGCTTACTTCTCCTATTTCCCGGGCCATACCAAGTAAACTTTCTTCCTGGTAACATCTCTAAGAACTTGCACCTCTCGATAAAAGAATTAAATTCTTCAATACCTGCTTGTCTAAAAATACCACCACTTCTTTCAGAACAATTGCAGATCACGTTAAAGTCTCCACCCATGAACCAATTACTGACAGATGCACCTCTAAGAACTTCAGTTTCATCCCACAAAATTCTTTGCTCAACAGGATCACACGAGGCATAAACATTAACTAGAGAGCACATTGAATTATCATCTACACTTCTCCCTCTTACTCGCTTAATGGGATCGACATATTATTCTGGAAATCAATTTGTTTCTCCCATGAGCCCTTATCTGTGGGCTCCACCACTTCCTGCCCATTAAGAATTTCATCAACTTCCTCCGAAGATGGGTTGGTATTGATTTCTGAATTTTGAAGCCAATGTAACACAGGTCTTCACCAACCCTGCCAGACCAGCTGTACAATGTTGGCCCAACTAATATTATATCATCCTTTTTCTTTTCCAGAAGGTTGACCAACCAAGTTACCTACCCTACCCAGCTTCCCCATCTCCACGCCTTCAACAGTCTCCTCGATACCCGAGTTTTGATTAAGATGAGGTTCGACCCATCATTGCTGATTTTAAGCCCTAAGTTTCCTCTCATATGTTTCTTTCCACTTCATTTTCAACCAACCGATATCCGTCGATAAGAATGTTCCCCATGCATCGTAAACTAGCTTCACCATCTTCCAAACGACTGTTGGATTCTTTTTGAGTCATCGGAGCATTTCTCCGACTTGAAAAAAAAAAGAGCTTTCCGATTGAAGCGATGAATCTTCCCCCTTTGGAGACTCCTTTTCCTTTAAGCTAGAGCCTCGGATCGTGGTTTTCAATTCTTCAGTACGAACCACGAATAATTCTCTTCCTACCTCCATCGATATCAACTCGTCAATTCTTTCCAATTGGTTTGTGGCTACTAATATTGAAACTTTTTCACAATCGATATCCTGAAAAGCATTTTCTCCCAATGACAGGAAATCCCCCCAAATTTTTGCTAGCGTCTTAAGAGTGGAGTGGTTTTAACAGTGCAGAGGGAACCCTGTCAACTGAATCCAAATAATCCTCTTCGATGCGAGAAAAACCTCCATCCATGGTTGGATTTCAATGAAGATATCATTAAGATAGGACCACTTATGATGCTCCGGTAAGCTATATAACTCTGAATCTTTGATCTCCAACAGAAAATATCTCCCATGAGCAAAAAGCCTCGACCCATGGTTGGATTTCAATGAAGATATCCTTAAGATAGGACCACTTATGATTTTCCAGTAAGCTATATACCTCTGAATCTTTGATCTCCAACAGAAAATTTCTCCCTCCTATGAATTTCACTCTTATCTCACCAAAACCACGTACTCTTAACCAGTCTTCGACTTGGTTAGATGAGCAGACCGTCGCCATCTATCCTACTAGGCATGTTCTTAACTTTTGTAGGGCTTCCTCTTCCACAAAACCTTGCACCGTTATTAGATTCCTACCGGTTTTCTTGTCGGACTCATCACTGCTCCAATCCTTTCCCCTATTTTTTCTCCTACTTTCCCTTTACCAACCAAATTACCTCCCTCGTTATTCTTCACTTGATAGCCTCTTTGATTGACCTTTCTACCATTGTTTTGAGCTGGATAGGGATTGCCATTCTTCCATTGATGGTATTTTTCTATGAACTTTGCTTTCTTGACAGCTAATCGAAAACCATTGATACTAAAACCATCAAGCCTCTGCATTGCTCTGCTTGCATATGCGTTGTTTGAAAATCGTACAAAATCAAACCGCTTTCCAAATTTATCCAACTTTCTTGCGTTGTAAGAATCCACCACCTCGCCATGTCTTCCAAGTAGCTGCCTTAGACCGCCCCAATGATATTTCAAATGGATATTTTGGACGATCTTGACAGCTAATCGAAAACCATTGATACTAAAACCATCGAGCCTCTGTATTGCTCAGCTTGCATCCGAGTTGTTTGAAAATCGCACAAAACCAAATCCCTTTCCAAATTTATCCAACTTTCTTGCGATGTAAAAATCCGCCACCTTACCATGTCTTCTGAGTAGCGATTTATTGTGAGATAACTGTTGGAAAATTATGAATTAATTGAATAAAATTGTTGATATTTATGATAAATGGTGTCACTCGGTAAAAATACTTATTAATAATAAGTTATTTTACTTGGTTTAAAGTTGCATCAATTCAATTATGCCTATTAGTTTTTCAACTAATCCCTTCATCAAATGATATTAGCTCTTCGTGAAAAGGCCATAACCTTTTGATTAATTTCATCTCCTCTATAAATAGACTAGTTGAGGCAAAAATCTTAGAGACAGAAGTTACATCATGCATGGTTAAAATGTTGGAATAGGAAAACACTTAGAAAATTCCTTCCAAATTAGTTATTTCCGGTGATATAGAAATGTAAGATTGTGTTCGACTGATCACTACAGTTGTGTTTTCTGATGTGATCATTTGATGTTGTGTCATAGGAGACCGACGTCCAACATTACTCAAAGCACCGACGAGAGGATAAATATGTCTTAAGGAAACTGTTCAGACATGCCTCAACAAAACTTTCTCTTCCATTTATCTAACTCCTATCATCCTCGATTTTATGTCTACATATGAGTAACAAATCTTATTCCTCTATTTTAATTTTTTATTTATTTTGCTTTGTTCGGTTATATAATAAATATTTGTTTATTATTATTATTATTATTATTATTATATTATGTCTCAAATTAACCATTTTGTCTAACAATCTTAAGACATATCATTTATTCTTTTAATGTAAGTCAAACATACCATGGATAACGAACGAACTAGTGGGGAAGTGTGGTTCGTGATAATTTTTTTTTTCAATATGCAATTCAAAATTGGTGGGGACTGTTTAATTTTATGTTTTTATTGGTCAAATCTTCATATGGTGCATTGGTGCATGTCACGTAAGGATGGAATTGATGTCAGGTACCCTTGAATATTATTTATTTACTCTTTTGAAAAATTTTAATTTGCATGGTATAATAAATTGCAGATCACTTAATTTGTGTCTCTCCTATACGAGACCTTTGATCTCATTGTTATCGTAACAATGAACTACATATTACTTACCTTTGAAATCATCAAAGAATAAAATTTTCAATTTGCAAAACTAGAAAATGGAAAAGTGAAACTTTGGTGCTATAGAACAAGACATCAAAATTAATGATATACACGTAATTGTGTTAGACTTTATATTTTTGTTTGGGTTTTTAATTTTATTAAATTCCGGCATTTAATAGTTTCAATAAAATGGTATTGGTTGTGAAATTCAGTTTCAGGTATTAATTTTACTAAATTCCCGCCGTTTAACAGAAATTACTCGTTGTGATTAATATGATACCTAAACAAAAATGTGATCTTGTGAACAAAAGATTTTTTTTCCAGGATTTTAATTATGCCATCCAAAATAATTTATTCAATTTATTTTTTATAATTGAAATCATTTAGAAGTAACAACATTGTTGTTTAACAAAACGAATGGTAAAATAAATTGAATTAATGTTCAATTTATTGTTGAAATTATTACGGATTCTAGTTTCGTGTTTTAAATGAAACATTAGATAATCTGATCAATTCACTTAAATCGTGATATGAAATGATTTTTCTAGACTTCAAATAAAATTCAACGATATTGATGACTGTGATTCACAATGAGAAGCATGTTAAATTCTATGGATAGAATTTCAAAACATGGAAACGATGGATGTTACATTTGACCATGTTGAATATGATCATATATGTGCATGATGATCTTCTTATTATTAGAGAGGATGTGGTAAATGTTATTATTGTAGTTAATGTTGTTAAAGCTTGGAATCATTCTATGTTGGAATCACATCTTGAATGGATTATCGGATACATTATATGAACTATATAATATCTATAAGATGACTAAAAAATTATGGATGGTATTGTGCCATGAATTAAGAGAATTATCTTAAATGAAATAACCAACGTCGTTCTATAATATTATAGGTTGTCATAGAACATGGGGGAGTTATTTTATCAGTTAATTCCTTTTAAATAAAGTGTTCTATAACCCATGGCATATTTCTAAGAACTTAAGGTATATGAGTACATTGCACAAATGTTGTCACCATAGCTCGTATAAATTGCACCAAAGTGCCGCGTAGAAATGTCCCGAAGGATCACATATTAGTGTCCCGAAGGACAATATAGAAATGTCCCCAAGGACCACGTAGAATTGTCCCGAAGGACCGCCTAGAACCCTCGACTCTTGGCATGCAAATTATACCCTCAACAGTCATATCATATGATATAGGCTTTACCATTTATACCATTTCATATAGCTTATCACATAGGCATGTATTCACATTTACCATTTTCACATAGCTTATATATTGTTCTCATGTATCCAAATAGATCATGTAACACATAGGATAACATATAACACATAATTCATGTATAGCAATACATGTGACATATAGATATATGCATGTACTCATGTACACATAGAAACCATATCAATAATATACTTGTAATCATGAAATCATGCAATCAAATATTGGAAATAGAATCATACAAGTCTTATTTCCATATAATCATATTTCATAGTAGTATGTACTCACCTTAGCCTCACTAGTCAGAGCAACACACTTATAACTCTTTATTGATCTTAGTCTTAGAATTGTCCTGAACTTGCCTTCGATCGTTATCTACACAATAATACAATTGGTATAAATATCGAAATTCATATCACTATAATCCATTCTTACTAACATAAGCTAAACAAAGCACTTGAATTCACAATTTCCATATGAATAGTATCAGTATCCAAGGTACAGTACCGATACTTCCTTACTGTGGTATCGATACTTCCTTACTGTGGTATCGATACTATACTTCAGTATCGATACCCTTTTTACATACTGGAATTTTACCCTAAAAATGGTGCTGATACTTAAACATTGGTATTGATACCCATGGTATCGATGCTCTATGAAGGATTTATCAAAGTTTGCGTTATGGTATCGATATTGTTCATCCAGTATCGATACCTACACTTAAATATCACCTATTTTTGTTTTGGAGTATCGATATTGTTCATCCTGTATCGATACCCTGTACCCATAATTTACTCCTAACAACCTGAAAATTTACTAACACTTTGCTAAATTCTTTTAAACCTTTAAACTCAACTATACTCACCCAAACCAACGTATTTCACTTTAGTACTCCTAAACATCCAAATTCTCAATAACATACTTGAAATAAAAAAATCATACCAACTTTTCAACTTTATTATAAATCCTTTTTAACCTCTTGAATCTCTTATTCTAACTAATGACAAGTCAAATTTCATTTGAAAATTCATTTACTAACTCTTTCTCAACAATTCACTCAAAAACCCTTATTCTTAATCATTCATAACTTCTTCATCTTATAGTTTTAAGCAACCTTAAGCTTTCCTAACAGTTCATGATTCAAAACCAACTTAAAAATGAAAGGAAACATTAACTTGAGACCAACTTACTTTACCAATGGAGTCACGGGAAGAGAAGGAGATCACTAAACCAAAATCTCCAGATTTTTCTTTACCCTTTCTTTCCTCTTTCCACGTGGATACATATAGCACCAAAATGAATTTTTTTAAGAGAAAATAACCTCAGTGACCAAAAATGCCTTATAATATACGATTTTAACCAACTTTTTTTGGATTTGCCAAAATGACCAACAAAATCGCAATGCGAAATAAAAATCACAACGCGATCTCCAGAATCGCAAATCAGTTCCCAGAATCGCAACGCGATTAAGAAGAATCGCAATGCGATAGTACAAATTCACATTGCGATTTTCTATAATCGCAACGCGAATATGAAAATCGCAACGCGAATATGAAAATCGCAACACGAACATATAAATCGCAACGCGATTCTGACTATCGCATCGAGTATCCGTAAAATCGCAACGCGTATCCGTAAATCGCAACGACAATACGTAAAATCGCAACGCGTATCCGTAAATCGCAACGAGAATACGTAAATCGCAACGCGCATCTATAAATCGCAACGACAATACGTAAATCGCAATGCGTATCCGTAAATCGCAATGCGAATACGTAAATCGCAATGCGAATACGTAAATCGCAATGCGAATACATAAATCGCAATGCGAATCTGTAAATCACAACGAGATTCTGACTATCGCAATACTGAATTTCAAATTCGCAACTCGATTTCTGAATTCGCAACAGGTATTAATTTCGCAACACAAATGTTTTGGGTATATAACTACGCAGCAGCAGCAACTCATAACCTAAATCCCTAAATCGCAGCTCATTCCAGCTCCATCTATCACTCTCTCTGGCGACATCCGTTCCTATATCCAACGACATCCTTCCCCATCCGGCAACAGGTTTTAGTTTCGCAGCTCGTTTGTTTAGTAAATTAATTTACAATAATGAAATCATCTAATGTTGATCATGTTTGGATAGATTTGTGTTTTGGAGGGTTATGGGAGAATGTTCATGGTGTTTTACAATATATGCCTTTACCCATGAATCTTCAACTAAAACTGTCATTAAAAAAAGTTAATTTATGAAACTCTAATGTTACGTGTTGCAAATAAATTGAATTTGGAGCCCCTAAGTGGATTTAGGCTATCTTATCAGAGAAATGGTAAAGTTTATTTGTTAACCGAAAATGAAGATGTTGAACGATTCATTGCTTATATTAGTGTTTCAAGTGATGATGTTACATTGTATGTTGTTGAACCTAGAAGTAGTGAAGTTGGGTCAGTAGCGGGTAGTAATCAACTAAGTTTTTCAACCTCAGTTTATGGTGCTCAAAATTTAATGGTTCCACCACAATTTCATCACCAAGAAAATATTGTTTCACCACATTTCCAATACTAAACACAATCTCAAAACCCACAACCTTTCCCTAATCCAAATCCCAATAAACTTTCAGTACCAAATTCTGGTTTTCGTATTGACCAGTTAGACGATGATGAGCCAACAGAAAAAATTGTGAGTACTAGTCAGTATTCGAAATTTGATCTTGGTCAATACCCGGACTTTGATCTTGGTCAATACTCGGATTTTGATGATTTTTCAGAAGAAGAAACAGACCTTGCGTATAATGATTTTGATATTGGTCAATACCCGAATGTTGATGATGAAACAGCCGTTGTTGAGGAAGATGTTGTTGATGATAATGAGGAGGAAGTTACGACTGTAAATGAACATGTTGAACATCCATTCTGTAATTCATATAACACTGAAGAAGAAAAAGAAGAAGAAGAAATCCCCAAAGAAAAGTCCCCGAAGAAAATACCACGAGAGTATAACTGGAATATGCCAGAATTACTTCAGATACCGGAAGAAGAGTTGGTAAAGTAGCAGTTGATTGTTACACAAAAATTATTCGTATCAAGAAAGATGATTGTTTTGATACAAAGGAAGACTTGAAGATAGCTTTGTATACGAAATGTGTGGAAGATGGCTATCAACTAAAAGTTAACAAATCAAGCAAAGATCGTTTCGAAACAAGGTGTATGATTGACAAAAACTGTATGTGGCGTATGATTGCAAAGAGGATAAAAGATTGCGAAATGTTTCAAGTTAGGACTTTTATTGATAAACATACATGTTCAAGAACCCAAGTTTTTCCTCACCATAGACAGGCAAACAAAAAGGTGTTGGGTGGTTTTCTGGCTGAGTTAATGTTTTTGAATGGTAGGGTATATCGGGGACATGAAATTATGACTGACATGAATGTTAGGTTCAAGATTAGTATCTCATATTCTCAAGCTTGGAGAGCCAAATGTTATACCTTGGAATTGTTGAGGGGGTCGCCAGAAGCATCGTTTGCCCAATTGCCGGCTTATTGTCACAATTTAAAGCTGAAAAATCCTGGGTCGGTAACTCATATCAAAACAGATAGAGATGGACGCTTTGAGTTGTTGTTTATCGCCATTGGTGCTGCGGTTAGTAAATCAATATAATTTTGTTGACTCATTTTTGTTAGTTACATGCATTTCACATTTAAATGATTATATTTCTTGTGTATATGATTTTGTAGATTCGTTCGTTTATTAATTGCATGCGCCCAGTTATTATAGTTGACGGAACACATTTAAAAGGTCGATACCTTGGAGTAAACTTATTAACAGTAGCCATGGATGCTAACAATGGGATACTTCCAATAGCTTACGGGGTTGGCAAATCTGAAACCTCTGATTCATGGGCATGGTTTATGGGGCATCTTAGGGATTGCATAGGTCCTATTAGCAATCTGACAATCATATTCGATAGGGCAAACTCAATTGAAAACGCTGTTAGAAGGTGTTTCCCAGATGCTTTTCATGGACTTTGTGGTGTTCATTTGTATAGAAATCTAAAATCAAGGTCTGCTGGTATAAAAAATCACAAATGGACATACTGGAAGGCTGTAAAAGCTTATCGGGAAGTGGATTTTAATAAGCATATAAACTATTTAAGACGTGTTTTGCCTCAGTGTACTCAAACACTAGAAGATGTTGGGTTTGAAAGATGGTCAAGAGTACATCAACTTGGAGCAAGATATGGTTTCATGACGTCTAATAGTGCAGAATCAATCAACGCTCTAAGTCGTCATTCCCGGAAATTACCCATTACTATGTTAATGGAGTTTTTTCGAGCCTCTATTCAACAGTGGTACTACAAGAAAAGAAACCATGCATGTATTATTTCTTTAAATTCGTAACTTATCATATATTTTACTAAGTATTATTTATTTAAATTTACAGGAACATTGGAACATCGTGTTACACCATGGACAGAAAAAAAGATAACGAAACGTGTTGTGAAGTCAACATCATGGAGAGTTGAACCATGTTCAAACACTTTGTTTGAAGTACTGGATAATAACTTAAATGGGCTTGTCGATCTAAATGCAAAGACGTGTAGTTGTATGAAATGGAAAACATCTGGTTATCCGTGTGGCCATGTTATAAAAGTTTCTCTTCATCTAAACCAAGATGATTCAAGCGCATACGCTATGGATTGCTACACTACAGAAGTATATCGACAGACTTATGGCGAGATTGTCTACCCTATTCTACATCCTTCTGAGTGAGACATACCAGGTGACTTAC